CAATATTCTGCATCTACTATGAATATTTCAATAGAAAGAAAACTTCTGAAAATAAACCTCACTCTTGCTTCCTTTTGAATGTTGCTATTTGGGCAGCATAAAGCTGAGAGATGACTATTCTGAAAAAGAACCCACACACAAATGGAAAAGGTACAGCAGAGCCTATGTGCACTTTATTAGCTAGCTAGCTAAAGAGAAATCTGTTTCACCTTCCTGCTAGAACATTGCTGTTCAAACAGCCTTGAAGAAAAGAAAAAGGCCTGCTATATTCTTTTTCTCCTTGCACCTAATGAGAAAAATATGTGTTTTAAAAGAGAAAAGTCCTTACCTCTCCCCTTTTCTTTAAATGAGAGTATTGCAAAGATTTGCATACAAAAGCACTTAAGTATTTGTACTGCAGTACATCTGGCAATTATCTTACAAGAGAAAGCATTCGTTTTAGCCAATTGCCACAGGCTTGGCATTACTGAGAGAAGCAGAAAGCATTTAAATGTACAGAAGAAAAGGGATATTCCAGCTTTCTACCAGTTACCTTGAACATACTTCACGTTTAATTTCACCCTGTTGCCACAGGCACTGTGTTGTTATGACAGCTGATCTGCCATTGAAAAGCTGTAAAGGAAAATCAACAAAGGATCGCTTCACCGATTTTCAGTGCAATTTATTGGAGCTTGTATCTTGCGGCTGCTGCTGCCTGTTGGGGTAATGACACATGATGGGTGATTAAAGTGCAAGTCCCTAAATCAAAGCTGTGTCAATGGTCTGCAGAAGCAGAAAACAGCATTCAGACCCTGTTCATTTCTCATAGTGGGAAGATCTCATTAGGGAAAAAAAAGAGGCTGTTTTACTAAAAAGAGAAAGTATTTGTGTCTAGGAAGAATTTTTGTGTTTCCAAGATTTACTGTAGCTTACCATAGGTGTTGCAGCAAAGCAAACTCATTTGACTGGCCATGTGGGAAGTGTGCCTTTATTATGCCCCGATAAAGTTTCACAGAGGAAGCCAGGCACAGACTTCTATGCATTTTAATAAACAAATGCTACAGTGCTTCAGCCATACAGTGAAACAACTGTTAGATAGCAGTGGAGGAAACAGCTTCACTAGATTCAGAATTTTCCTTCATAAGCATCTTTTAGGTTCATTTGTGTTTATAAGTACTATGATTTTTTGTTTCTTTTTCTGTGGTAGCTAGTTATGTGATTGGGGCCTCTTTATTCCATGAATTGTCTGAAGATGGAAATAAACAGATTTTGCTGGACATCGGTTGTGGTCAACATGGACAAGAGGCCCTATAAAGGGAGCAGAGGCAGCAGAAGTACAGGGTGGTAAATTACCACAGCCAAGACCCAGGTAGCTGCAGAAACAGGGCACTAGACTCACTTTTACACTGTGACAAGGCTCCCATTCCCAAACAGCCTTTTATGTTACTCCAGCAGGTCTTGTCACTTTAAACAATTTTTAAAGTTTAAAAAAAAAAAATTGTTTAAGAAACTTAGCATGAAATGTATTAGCTGGGATTAGTATGTTCCTGCTGGAAGGAGGTGTGGGTCTGACAGATGGCTTTAGGTTTATGTATTAAACACTTATAATGCAAGTAGTTAAGAAGCATATTTGAAAGGTAAGTGAATGAAGCAATTCTTGGCAGACAAGATTTGTTGGAAATGTTTTGATTATCAGACTAAAACTTCTCAGGCTCCACACTGACGTGAAAATAAGTGTGAGATTTGAGAAGGGGCAGAGCTAACATGACTAACTTCAACAGATTATTTACATAGGAACATGCATACCTTAATGAAAGCTTGCTTTTCAGCAGGGAATTTTCTTTACAATACCATTCTATCATGTTATATATTGCCCCTAAAGTGGAATTAGGAAGTGTGACGTTTATTCAGATGAAGGCAGGCAGTCAGTCCATTTTAAGCAGACATCTCTTCCCTTGTGACTCCCAGGCAACCTTTAAATAATTTTAGTTCTTCCCTTCATGTTAAAGGCTCATTATCCTTTATAGAAATTCCTTAGAACTCTACTCATCCCAAGCACCAGGAGTCATTTCTCAAGACAGCACTAGATTCCTTATTCCAGATCTCTTTCATAAGTTTCTAATATTGTATGTCCTAGTGAATACAGAATTTGAGAACTACTTATCCTTGGTTCAGAAGAAGAGAAAAAAATCACTGATCATGATTTTTATGTCCATTTCTCAAAAAGAAAAGGAGGACAATAGCTGCTAAGTGAAGATGCTCTGCTTTCATGGCTACCATTCTAGCCTTGTGGTTCCTGGTTCAGCATTGACTCTGACAGCCCTTTCTTTCCACATTTCTGTTAGTATTCCTGAAGTCTCTTTCTTTTGCTCCCACCTTTTTGCTTTGCAGTCCCTCCTCATACAATTTCCCTTCAGCATATAAATAGGGCCAGCTTCTCTGACTTGAAGGTGTCATGTAACAAACACTGAGGCTGTATATAAACATTTATCTGGAATTACTACCATTTCCTTCTCAGCATTAAAAGTGTTGTTAAGCAGGCCAAGTTGGTTTATAACTTTAGCTGGTTTTTCACTAAGAAAAGGTCCATCAATTTTAGAGGTAGTAAGTCATGGAAGTATATTAGGTCGATGCTTAATCTGTCCACTCTTGAACCAAAACAAAAATTTGTTTACCCTCTTTTGACATCAAAAGTCAGTAGCTTTTCTGTTTCGATACAGGTGAAACTGGAAATTCTGGAAGAATAAAGCATCCAGTCACATTTAAGAGATTTGTCATAGGATCTATGAAAGGCAAAAATTTATCCAGCAATGTTACTAACAGAGTAGGTGGAAACTTTTATCAAACATGGAGAAGAAGAATCACCTATGCATAAGAGTTTGGGGTTTTTTTAAGTTCACATTAATGCTGTCAATGGTTAGCATCTGCATACATGAGGTATCTGTGCTACAAGGGACAGTTAACAAGTGAAGGAAGTGGCTGTAAAGGGACTGCTGCCATGTCTTTCTTTCTGAGAGACAGTCTAGTTTCACAATCAGTGACTATATCTAAGCCACTCTACTTTTTTATCAGGTGGTTTGAGCTACTGTTCATAGACAGACCGTGCATAGACTGAAGGAGGGAGGGAAACCAACTTGTCACAAGGAAGCCCAAGGTTTTTATCTAGTAGTAGGGGTATACCTGAAGGGCTAGGGTCCAGAGACAGGCTTGTGGGAGTGAGGGTAAAAGAGCCAGAATAACTAAAGAGAAAAAGAAAACAGCAAATGACAAGATACAGTATCAGAGAGCAAAAAAGGTCCAGGCCCTCACTTTGGTGTCACTCCATCTGACATATTATGTACCATAACCACACCACCAGAACAGGGAATCCAGCTATACCTGAAGCCCACCATGGGACGCTTCCCCAGAGCAGCTTTTGCTTAATGTGTGCTTGATTATAAAGCTAAAGCTGTGCCTCTTATATGCACACACCAACACGCTAACAGTGTTTGCTCTAACAGCCATTCTGGGAGCAGTATGTGTAAGTGTGGATGTGTGAGGATGTATAGACATGCTTGCCTGCTATCTCAGAGCTGGAGGGGTTTTCATTAGATTCAAACAGCAACTGACTCTCCAGGGAAGCTCCTGCTCTTATTTGATAAGGGATGCTCTTTTATCACACATGAAACTGCATGCAGTGATCAGACAGGCAGTGTGCATAGCTGCCAACCAGAGGAAAGCTGTTTTTCTGTAGCATATTACAGCAGTGCATTGCTACTACAGATGAAGATTGGCCCCGAAATGGCTAGTTACGGAAACTGCAGAAGCTGGAACTTCTACTGATCAACAGAAAAAAGTATGCCATTAACGCACTTGCTTGAGATAATGGATTATCATGTTATTTTTCAGAAGACAAAGCCACTGTGGTATATCAGAGTGGAGAGGACATCTGAGGTACTGGGGCTTTCAAATCCAACAAAATTTACACTCTTCCTTTCAAAGACTTCAGTTATCAATTCTCTGACATTACAACAAACAATGCTCCTAAATCTAAACATTAATGCTCTAAAATATAGCTCACCAATGGAGAGTAAGTTGGATTTTCCTTCCTTTCAGAAAAAAAAGAAAAAAGAAAATCTTTTTACTTTCAGGAACAAACCTTTTTCAGGCTAATTGACATCTCAGAACTTCAAAGCACTCAGTCTATTTTCAAAATTCCTACAAACATGAAAGCGCATGGCTTGGTGACCTCCATCAGTACTAGTCTAACAGGTCAGCCACAAACATTTGGCATGTTAAAGTGTCAATCGTCACTTCTTTTCTTTAGTGAGAAATTATCTCTACAACTTCTTTTTTTCATATTTCCTATATATTCTCAGCTATGTTCATGTTTGAAGGAGTTATAGCTAACACGTATCTAAAAATCAACTTGCTTTTGTGCCCAGAAAGTACAGATAGGTTGAGATTGTGTACGCACTACAAATTCAACAGAATTGGATGCATTTTCTGAAGGTTACTTGCAGTGACTAAGTCAAAATGACTACTGTGGCTGCATCTGTAATATCTCATAGCATGTTATAGCATCTTGTGGTATCTACTGTAATTATACATATAATATCTATCTATAGAATTGTTTAAAGGAATTTTAAATCCATATTTCCTTCAACTTCTGAGGTTTCTAACAGTTGCTGTGGGTATTTCTCCTTTGTTATGTTTTTTTTACCCCGGACCAAAGAATTTTCTTACTTCCCCTTCATTACTCAGCTGTAGTTCATAGACTTTATATAAATTTTTGAAATGAGATGTTAATCCTTTTCATCTTTAGGTCCCCTTTTCTCCCCCTACTAAACAATTTTTTTTATTAATTGTTGTAACTTCCAGGTGCTACCACATGCAGCTGAATGCCAACATTAAATTAAAACCAACAAAACAAATCTCTTACGTCCCTCCCCACCTGCCCTCCCTCTAAACTGAAGATGCAGTAGACGAGCCTTTTTCACTCAATGGTAATCTGAATCACAGAGAAGTGTTTTAGTTCTTACTTTTAACAGTGAGGTACATGGACTTGCTGACGTCTGCTCCCACATCATTGCTGACCTTGCAGAGGTAGTATCCACTGTCTTCTTCCAGCACGTGTTTAATCAGCAAGGAGCCATTTGTGAGAAGCTGGATACGACCATTCAATGCAATTGGCTGGAACTGTGGAACCCCGGCACCTAAAGCAGGACCCCCATGGAAATAGGTTAGTTAGGAAGGAAAGCATCTCTTTTTTTTTTTTTTTTTTTTTAATAAAAACAAAGACAGATACTATAGCTTCCTATTCCTAGAGGCTTAATTTAATAAAAATATGAATGGCTTCTGACATCATCAGACCAAATGGAATGTTTCTTTACCAAATCTGAATTCATTAAATGGAAAGAAGACAGGCTTTTGGAATTTAACTGTAGGAGTAATTTGCCCATGTTAAAGGTAAAGGGGGAAAAGGACCACAAAAGTGGAAGAACCAGAAAGGGGGAGAGAGAAAATGGAGATTTTCAGGCTGCTCATGGGTAAAAAGGAACACTTGTTTCACATTTAGAGGCTGATAAATTATTGACAATTACAGCTGAACATTCATATAAGTATGCATCCGTAATGCATACACGAAATGAATTTCTTATGACTAAAGGGGGTTTCTGTTGTAGTAAACATGGTATACTCAAGGGACCTCTAGGACCTTGTTTACAGAACTTTGGGTAACATGGGAAACTGCGTGTCTTGCATGTTTCCTCCTACAGCTGGGTGACTGATGACACATAAAATTTCTATTCTGCCATGTTTGTAGCCAGTATTTATTTGGACTGTTAAAAAAAATACAGAAAAAGAAAGAAAAAGCTGAGATCATTAAGCACACATGAGGTGCCACATTTCTTGGTAATGTAAAAATGGAAGGTCCATAAAAAGACACGAAGCCAAAGATTTCTCTATCAACATTGGTTTTAAGAAAGAACTCACTTTTCCTTGGAAATAAGATACTGGGTGATTTAGGGAATAGGGATCTGGTTGCTGCCACATCGACAACATGCCATACTGTCCAGAGGCCCACCACAAGTTCAGGTTCCTCCATCATTAGGGAATCTCTAACTATATATTAAGGTACAGTTCTTGTAATAAAGGTTTTCACAGCCTACTTTGGCAGCAGGAGATGGGATTTTTCAGGGAAATCGTAAAGTAGTCTTCTTCAATGGAATTCTCTTATACTGCTTTCTGTACACGAAGTTAATATCTGTCAGCATTAATTACTATATGCAGTTGGCTGAGTCAGCCCAGGAGAAAATATGATGAATAAATATTAGGGGGAATGATTTAGTATAAAATAGCAAGCTATAACAACCTATGAATACAACATCTAGAATATTAAAAAAGACCAGCCATGCATACTTGAAAGTCTTTCTAGTCCTAGAGGAGTTTTGCTTCAGGGACTTACAGTTACCCTGAAGGTCTGGTGGCCAATACTGTGAACTCAGGAATGTTAGAGAGTATTTTCACAAAAATAAGTCACCATTGTTGATTTTTCAACTATTTTATTCACATGTACATCCCATTTACCCCTTCATTGTTTTGTTTGTTTTCTTTTCTTTAATAAGCCATTTTTCTTGTCATTTAGTTGGAAGCCACATTTATGCTTCACAAACTCTATCTGTCTGCAAGTGATTGCCCAAGTAGACAGATGCAAGCACTCACTTCTTATATTTTTTTTCACATGAAAAATTCTAGGAAAAATTCAGTGTTCCCAGAAACGAATGGGCTAATACTCCTGAGGATAGCTAAAAGTGGGCAAAATTTTGCATACCAGTTTGCAAAGGCTTCTTACTCTTCACATGCACTGTCACTGCTTTTACATCCAAAGTCCTACCTGAGCAGTGGCAGCAGCTTATCAGACACAAATATGCATGAATCTGCAAGAGAACTACATGCTCATGAATTACAGAATCACAGACTTATTGAAGTTAGATGGGACCTCTGGAGGTCATGTGGTCCAACCCTTTTGCTCAAGAAAGGCTACCAAAAGCTGGTTGTTCAGGACCACGTCCAGACGGCTTTTGAGTATCTCCAAGGATGAGACTCCACAGCCTCTCTGGGCAACCTGTGCCAGTGCTCACAGTAAAAATGTGTTTTCTTACGCTCAGACAGAACGCTCCTGTGTTTCAGTGTGTGTCCATTGCCTCTTTAAGTCTGAAGAACTTAAATCAACAGCTTCTTGCTGATTATGGGGTATCTATATTGATCATTGTAATTATTTTTGAGAGACAGCAAGTCCATTTCCGTTACCTCTCTATCCTGATGTACGAATAAATGAATCCTCTTTTTCCATTTTTCAAGAATACAAAAAGCCAATTACACAAACTTACCTGCAGGTGTACAGATGCCCTTTCTATTCTGTTGTGGTACTTACAAATGAACTATGATCTAATTGCTTTACTCCTGATGGCCTTACCTCAGTAATTATTTCAGAATTGGGCACAAACCTTGTTGCAAACTAATTATACAATGTTTCTCTTTAAAGGAAGATGTAGCATGTATCCCATAGACCTGTAGACCACCTTAGTTAGACTAGGTATTGAAACTGCAGTCATCTGTTAGCAGAATACAGACTTTTGTAACAAAACTGACATTTCCACCTAGAGTTATTTTGGGCAAAATTTTGTTTGATGGCTTTGCCTACATCACTTATACTAAAACTTTCTTTGACTTAAAAACTTCAGAGCTATTAGTGGAAAACCTTTAAAACAGTCACTTCAGGGTAGAGCATCACTAAAATCAAACTACTATCCATTTCCTCTTTATTAAGATGGGCTACTTATCTTTTTACAGTTAATTACAACCCAGCTAGCTTGGCTTGGCCTCCTCCTTCAGCATGCAAACACAACAAAACAGAACTACTTCATCGTTACCTATATTCATAATTAAAACCCCATGTACCAATGAGATTAATGGAATTTGGAGCTCTGCATCCTTCTTGCCATAAACCAGAATTTATAAATAAAAACATAAATAGTCTTTAAAATGAACACTTCTCTTCCTTCACCTTTTTTCTTCAAATATAATTATATTATAATAAATAAAATATAACATAAATATAATATAAATGTATACCTTCAAATATAATTATATGATAGATCCTAAGGAAACCAAAATTTACATGGAACATTACATAAGGATTTCTTCTCAACAGTGCCTATTTTTTATTTTTTTAGAGTTAACTCATTTACATTGGATACAGTGTTTGGAGAGTTTGTTTTCTTGCTAAAACCTACTAGAAGACAACTGGCCAGAAGACACAATCTAGAAGGCAGCACATTTTAATTAAAATGCAGTCAATTTCTTATGGTTACTGGGGGTCAAGTGGGATCAGTTTTAATGCTCTGTTACATGAGAAGAAAATGTTAAAGCATTATGTAAAGTGCATAATGAATTACTGTTTATGCTAATGATACCTGACCTTTCTTCTTTGCTGAAAACATATGATTGGCCATGTTATCATAAATTCTGAAGGGGATAAAAAATCAGCCAAATGCTGCTGGTGAACATTGTTCTGAGGGTGTTGAAATTAAAGCAGTACGTCTTTTTCTCGCAGCCATCTATTTTATCACTTGCCTGCTGAGGCCATAGCTAACCCAGACACACATTTACAGCTCCAGGATGTCTCCAAGGCAGACCAAAAGTCCGTCTAGCTCAGCTTTGTGTCTATGACAATGGCCAGAACTAAGTGCTTAGGGAAACTGTATAAGAACAGTATAAACATGCCTGATATTTCTCTTACTGCAGCCTGTCAGTCTCTGCAATATGAAGATTAAATCAGGAACTTACAGGTTGAGTAAACTGCTACTAAACCAGAATTAATCTGTCCCCAATGATCACTGGAGGAATCCTACCTTTTGAGTACTTCCAGACAATGGTAGGAACAGGATAACCTTCTGCAGAGCAGTTGAGAATTACAGCTTTTCCATAGATCCCATCCTGGTCGCTGGGCTGAACTACAAACCTAGGAGGCACTGTAGGCGGAAGCAAAAGGAGCCATGAGAATTTGCACAACTTACCAGGTACCTCAAAATGGCAGACCAGTCAAATAAGAAGGCTAAAATTTCATAGCAGAAAGCAAAAATTAAAACCACCTTTTTGATGATCCAATGACATAGTAAAGTTGGTTTTACAAGATTATTTGCTTTCTGTGCATAATATCAATGTATTTCTTGACAAGCACAACAAAAATCATGGTCTTTTTATGATATAAAAGTAAGTTAATAAAAATCTCTCCATAGCAGAGGTTATAAAATGGACTAAGAGATAAATCATATCACTACATTCAAAAAATAAGTGCTTTCTAACAAAGGCAGAGGTTTGACAGATGTCTAAGAAGAACTGAAGTTTTCTGTGTTTGCTTTTTATAACAATGAACTAATAAGCTTTAGAACAAGAATTAAATTATTTAGTGTAAATAAACATAGAATCTTATAGTATGTTTTGGGTTGGAAGAGACCTGAAAGATCATCTAGTTCCAACTCCTCTGTCATGGGCAGGGACACCTTTCACTAGATCAGTTTGCTCAAAGCCCCATCCAACCTGGCCTTGAACACTTCCAGGCATGGAACATTCACAACTTCTTCGGGCAACCCATTCCAGTGCATCACCACCCTCACAGTGGTTCATGTAAAGAACTTCTTCCTAATATCTAATCTAAATTTAGCCTCTTTCAATTTAAAGCCATTTCCCCTCGTAATGTTAAAAAATAACAATTTTAATAGCAATTACTTCATATTAAAATGAGATGGGAATTTTCTTTCCAAACAGCCATAAAAACATTCAACACAATTTGCTTGCATTAGGTTGAAGAGGGAGGAGAAATCTTACTAGAATAGAGGTATTTGCATCAATGTCTAAGTACTATTACACTTTCTGTAAGGCAGCATAAAACCACTGCACTGAGTCTTCAGGCATATATATCTATTCATACATAAATAAAATGAGAGTTGCTTATCTCAAGGAAAAGCTTTACATCTTCCAAATATAGGTACACAACAAAGAAATCAACTTATGACAATGCAGTTTAAAACTACAGTTTACCATGAAGGCCAAATAATAAATGACTAAGTCTCAATAAAACATGCATATTTGACAAAAGTTTTAAAGAAAAGCTGAAAATTGTGAAGAACGTTGAAAACCCCACAGAAGTTAGTGAATATTAAAAGCATTCGATGGTTATATTAAAGTCAGTTAAGGTCAAGATTTTCACTGACATCCTATCCAGTGGTTCACAACATGAATAAGTAAATACCTCAGAAAAAAGTAAACTATTTGTGTCTTTATCCCACATGTTATTCTTTTTGTCTGTGCTACAGAGAAAATGTAGTAAGGTGACTGACCCTGGGACAGATTTTTTTCCTCTCAAGTACAGCAACACACTCAGGTATTCCTAGTAGTTCCTTGCCTTCCTCTGCTCACCACAGCATATGCACACAGAAAGAAATGCAGCCTAATGGATTCACAGCTCTACAGGTCCAGCCAGTGCTGACTTTGTCTGAAAGTTGGGGGAGACAGAACAAAGGGTCCAACCATCCCTCCTTGCTTTGACCCAATCCCCCAGCAGACCCCACCACCTGCCTCTCCAGAAGTGTCAGAAATTAAGAAAGGAACTATGAGAGAAGGCGGTAGCAAGAGGAAATGTAAGGCAGAACAGAAGTGGATCATCAGTACAGTGACTGACACTGCATCAGAAACAGCTCTTAGTGGCCATGAATATAGTACTGATCATATTTCAGAAAAACTGTGCAGCAGAAGCACCAATGTTATAATACATGACTTTAAAGATTTTTCAGTATAAACATTCTCATATTTTATGCAAGTAGTGCCTTGCATATACCAGAGAGTTTTCCTTAAGGAGAAACTTGAGCTGGCAGTGTTGGTATGGTCAGGACTCCTAAAAACTGAAGGTATCTAGACATACTATCTCCACATTCAGATAACCCTCCTCACAATGGCTCAAGCCTTCCTCTCCATGCCCCCATAATCCAGACTCCAATTTTCTCTTTCTACCTTTATAGATACAACTGATTTTTAAAAGAGGAGAAAAATCTTCTGGAGAGCAAACAGAACTTTTAACTGGACTTTTTGTTTATTGAATCCTACAGCTATGATGCGCAGCTGTTTCATGACTATGTACAAAGAAGCTCCACTGCTGTTTGGAATGTGGCTAGAAGAAACAGAAGGAATTAACAGTGATAGAAGTAAGAGACACCTTTGTACTAGGAGATATTTACACTGCTGTCAAACATTATGGCTTTCCAAATGGCAGTCACATTGACCAATGTGTATCATATGTGACGTTATTCATGATAGGTAAATATCAAACTTGAAATCCTGGCAAGAGCACCTCTGGGCAATCACCCACCCTGTTCTAATTATCTACTCAGAGAAGACAGAAGACATTTGATTCAGTAGCTCTTTTCTCATGTTTTGTGTTCATTTTATCACAAACACAAAAGGAGTCCCAAGTGCTTATTTTCCAAAGCAGGTGGAAAGTACAACTAGTTGCACAAAAAGGTTTGATTTTACATGACTCAGCACGGTGGCATCAGTTTGTTTCACCTCAGTAAATGCAAGTATGCATTTATGCATTTGTATGCACAGCTTCTGCAAAATCACTTACAAGATGCTTAACCGTAAAAAGGGTAGACCAAAACAATCCCAGCAAACCCAAAACACGGAGCCACCTCAGCTGTATCTGTTATACACGTTAATGTTTACAAATGATGCAACAGAGTGACTGATAGTTACTGACCTCTTCTACCACTGTAAAGTGTGAAGAGTGCAATGCCTTCTAAAATCTCACACTATTCAAAACTTATGCAACTTATTTATTTCCTTTCTTGAAAAACATTTTCTTTATGTTCTTCATTCACTATTGATGCCACTAGCAAGAAGTGCTTATTTTTCAAGAAATAATTGATTATATTAAATGGATAGACATATGCAGAAAGTTCTGGAAAAGTTAAGTAAGGTTGACTAGTATGGAATAAAGGCAATCAGCCTTTAAAGTATTATTTTCATTAAAGTTTTCTGTTAAAAGATTTTATTTTATTTTTATCTAATTCTTTTGGGCATACACAGAGAAAAATGGATGGATTACAAGTATAAATGTTGTTTGAACGTTTCTATGAAATTCATCCTTTCACATTTTAATGAACTCATTTAGATATTCTTGATGTGTTGTCAGCCGCTAAGGCTGACAAGCTCTGAACACGGCATTTTATCATGTTGATTTCACTGTATTTTGGGTATATGTAAAGCTTAATGTTTTGCTCAAATATTCTTGGTATTCTCACTTCTAATCATTACTTTTAATACAGAATGATACCAGAATGGTAACTGTGGAAATTAAATTTTGCTGTATAAGCTCCAGAGCCAGATGTATGATTAGCAGTTGTACGATTTACTTATACTGCTCCATAAACAAAGCATGTTTTAACCTTACTCGGCAAAAACTCTGCCCACATCCAGTAATAGAAACAATTTCTATATTCAGTAAAACTTTGGCCTTCCTTTAGGAGTGCTTATAAAGATGCCAGCTACTGCTCTGATTTTAAAGACATGAAACCTTGACACTTAGTCTTAAGATTGCCAATAGAAATCAGAAAAGATTCTACAGTGAAACAAAATTACTCATTCAGTGACTTTTCAGTCGCTTCTCTATTGCTGTCTATGTAAACCAGAGGATTTTTCTTCTGATAGAAAAGATTAAAAAGTAAGCAGAGGAGACCTTTAAATTTATTTTTTCCTCACTGATAGCTTGCTTCTCAATTTTGTTTCGAATTAATAACTTGTTCAGTTTTATGTGTTACCATATTTTGGAAGACAATGCACTTACTATTTGATCTAGATTTTGATACTTATCTTTAGATTATAAAGCTACATTCACTTTTTTGTTATCTTTCAGGAATTCATTAGCCCTTAAATAAAATTTTCTTAGAGGAATTTAGGAAAGTTAATTTGTCTGATATGCTGAAGTGGAGTTAGTGGAGAAAGCAAAAAATTAGTTCTCCTCCTCACTCTTTAGCTGTAAAGGTGTGGGCCTCCTCTGCCCCTTTAGAAGTGAAACATTCTGAAATAGCTCATGAATATGACTGAACAGTTCTACATTTATTATTACTCTTGTTTCAACAGCACAGTCCTATGAGTCTGTAAAGGAGGGCATTTAAAACTCCTTTAACAGTGAATTTCTGTTAGGCTTTCTTATTTCATGCAGCCCACGGATCTGTGATGAGAAATGAGCTGTTGAATTGTTTAGCGTAAGAGCAATAAGTTGACAGAAACAAACCATTTAATGGCTGAACTCAAAGGACCTAAAAAGGTGTTTTCAGTCAATATTATGACTAGCAGTCCCAGGCTCTCACAAAGGCAAAACAAAGGATGAGAGCAATCAGAATAGGATGTTAAAGATAACACGAATGTCATAGTACCATTTTAGGAGAAGGAAAATGCTTTCATTAGCTGCTTGTGTGAAATAATCTTGATAAGATGATAAAATATAAGTTGGCAGCCTACGAAGAGACTGCTTAGTAGTATCATCGGTGGTCTTGATGGACTTTACAAGCTATTAACAAAAATCAGTTCATGAGTGCATGGATAACGTTCCTTGATTTAATTTTGCTTTATGTAAATCCACGAATCCTTTTGGATGTGCTTTATGCCAGGGACTAAACAGCAAACTTGCACGCTTCTTCCTGGACTTCAAATCTGTGCAAGTGCTTCCGGCTCCCAAGTAGAGCGATCAGTATATCACTCCAGAGAGCAATTCTGAAGGCTCATAAGATGAGCTCCTCCAGTGGGCTACTGGAGTGAGTTAAGAAATAATCTATGACATTGGCCGAACACAATGTTTCAGTTTTACATGGAATATTTGTACTTTACATTTAGATCATACTGTCAAAATGATGGAAGAAACTTAATCAGCCAAAGCAATCACTGATGTATTAATGAATGATATCATTAAACATTGTACTTTAGCAAAGATGAACAGTTATTAAATTTGGTCATTGGACCTAAGGGGTCAATTTAACTGCTTTAGTGAAACCATTTCCTATGCAGTTCAAGAAAAAAGATGTACTTTTGCAAAATGAGACAGTGCCTAGTGGTTTGTGTTGACCAGGTTTGCCTAATTAGAACATTAAATAGGAAGTGACTCTTTCAAGAGTAATCTTCAAAGCTGCAGTGTAAGCACCAGCAAAGAAAGTAAATGGGTTTTGACTCCAGCTGCGACCACAAATCTTCACACCATGTTTTTCTATCACAAGCTGCATTTGCTGCATCACACCAGCAGCATGATCAAACATTATAAAACAGATGAATACTTACTTCGTAACTGGAAAGTTCAAGTCTCAGGGACTCCTCATTGGGTGCCTAACAATCTAATGATATTCAACATTTCTGGCAAATGCAAAATTAAAACACACTTACACTTAATGCACTAAATGCATTAAAGGGTGTTACTAGGTATTTACTTCATCTCAGTTTTAACTTATGATGTGTTCACTAACAGGAATTATAAAATTGTGAGTTAGGTACCCATTACTGTATTCAAATTATCTTTACTGGCAGCATCTGAAAGAATTTAAACTCATAATACATTTATGAGCTTTTCCTTTCTGGTTACCAATTAAAATATTTTTCACTGTTTTTTATTTCATAATTACTTCATTCCCATTTTAGGAAACCCTACAGAAATGAATAGCACATGATAGAGTATATATAGATTTTAATCACTCTTTAGAAGACAGTCCTAATGAGTAAAGCCCTAATTAATTCCACATGATGATATAACTAGTTGACAAAGAAGATATTTTCCTAATTTTTATGGATGGCTTCCATGAAAGGATCCCATTCTTTCCTTTTTCTTAACCTAGCAAGCCAAGAGCGTGACAAGAAATAAAATAATCAAAATAATAATGACTGGTGAGTTTGTGAGAAACCCTTCTAGCTTTCAAATTTTCAATGCATTTCCAGAGGAACAGCAGGCTGGGATCTGGAAGAGGACAAGATTTTAAGAAGGAAAGCTCTGTGTTCACTCACCTGGACTGCCTACCTCAGTTTCTTTCATAGAGCACAAAATAGCAGTGAAGATTTACCATAGGGTGCCCACAGTTTTTAAGAGACCAGTGCTTAACTTATTTAATTTATTTTTGTTTTCAACTTAATACTCCTGGCAAAATGGCAGTGCAGTTTAGATATGAAAAATTGTATTTGTAGAAGAATATAGGAAACCTATTTAACAGACTTAAAACTTAACAGAAAAATGTGAATGCTTAAAAATAGTAGACGCATGCAATCCAACATAGAAAATATTGAGGAAAAAGTCTCAAGTTGTAAAGCTGAAGCATTTATGTGGCTGCATGGATTCTGCAGCAGTCATGTACTCACTAGTACTTTAAATGTAGCAACAAGTGGTCGGCCTGCGTTTTTTCTTTCGTCTTAGGAATGGACTGGATTTAGATTCTACTTCTAAGTCTACCCAAGTATTGCAAATGATATGGACTCCCACTTATTTTGGAAACAAGATAGCTTTCATCATGTTTAAGTCTGCTTTTAAAATGAATACAAGGACAGTATAGATAAGAAAATAGGAACTTTGTGGTTAAGAGTCATATCTCCCTTTACTTTTCCATTCACTGTCTACTCTCATATCAAAACGCACAAACTTCACATAAATAAGATATTCCCAGACAACAGCCCCTGACATTTAGGAAAGCCAACATTTAATTTTAAAGTACACTGCTGAGAAGCCATCACACAATGTTCATTAGAAACAAGAAGAGTTAAAGCACCATTTTTCTGCCTTTATTTGGAGGAAAATCACTTAGTTGATTTAGAAAAAGAATATGTTTCAGTTATATGGCTTCCATAAACAAAAACGTGAGGAGGGATCAGAAAGCTTGGAGAAGGAACAGATAGCAGGAAAGCAAGTCTTTACCTAAATGTGTATAGGTCAGGTTGGATGCAAATGAGTAGAGATCAAAAGTAACTCTCTGATGGCTGTGTGTCTTCTACGCGGAATGACACAGATGGAGTGGTTTCAGTACAAGAGAAAGAGGTCAGTCCAGGGTTTTGGCAGAAAATTCAGGTCAAACATCATATTACATTTCCCCCATTTCCTCTGAGGGAGAACTACAAAACTGATACATAAAACTGATTAAGACGTTATCATTTAAATTGACAGAGAGAGAAGAGACGAGAAAGGCTTAAAGGAGGCTGCTGCAGAGCACTGGCTGGGCAGAAGCATAACCAAGAGGGGAAAAATGAAGTAGTCCTCATAGCTTCCTAATGAAAGTTGCAAGACTAGGACTCTAGAAGGATTCTCCAAGCCTCTGGGTAAAGCAGAGTGAAAAGCTACCCTTATCATGCCCAGGGATTTATAAGGACACCCTTCAGGCACATGCACTCAACAGTTGCCATTCCACCACTGGGGCAGAGCCCTTATCAGGAAAGCAGCAGCACATGAGGGCAAAATTGAGGTATCAGTGGCGTGTCTTCCAGTGAGAGAGCAGGCTACCCAGAACACCTCCCTTGGACATGGAGAGAAAACTAATTGGTGCCAAAAAAGTCAGCAAGAGGCAGACATTTTCAGGGAACAGGGGTTGGCCAGCCAGGGGCATGCCAGAAGAGGAATTACCCACTGACAGAAGGAGGCAGGGAAACTGCAACTCAGGCAAGGCAGGGACAAGTTAGGGGGAAGCACAGCTTGCCCTGATCAGAGGGGCACAGAGGAGCAATCCCTACACATGGGCTCACTTGAGCTCTTAGAGCATCATGGGTCTTGGTGCTATAGAAAGGATAAACAGTGTTTGCAGAGAGCCAGTTTCTGTGGTACAATCAAGATCATCATACCATCCCTGGTTTGATGACATGCCTATGGGAACATGTACAGAGTTGCTACAGTGGTTCATTCCAGTCTCTTCAAACACTGAGTATAACTGTAGATCAGATACGACCTCAGCTGTTGTTAGATGCAGCACTTCTTTGCAGGGCAGACATAGCCAGTGGACTGCCTGTTGTGGTGGGAGGTTGTCAACTTTCCCTTCGGAAGCAAAAGATGAGGAAAATCTTTTATTATAAGAATGACGAATAGGATTAAAAGCTAACAGAACATCTTGGGAAAGAATAATTATATGCGTGTAGTTATTTAGACTACTTCATTTAAGAACTACTGGATAAATGGGGAAAATTATAGACATCTGTACTGAAAAATACTTAAAGAAGATTAAAACCAGTGAATATAAAAGAAAAATAATTGTTAAAATCATATTTATATCAAAATTAATGAAACAGCAATGGACCTATTTGCCACCAAGTTTTGAGAATACTAGCTTAAAACCCATGAGCAAACACACACTATAAGTGGAAAACTAGGGAGTAATATATTTAAGGATAGTCCTAGGACAATGGAAAGATTTGACATAAAAGAAAGAGCTGTTCACAAGATTTTGTTTCAAATGAGTTTTTGAGAGGGAAAAAAAACCCTGGAAAAGATGGCAAAAGCCCCTGAGTGATTTTAAGATTTATTTTGTTAAACTTACATAAAGGAATATAAAATGTCGTGATCAGCAACAGGCAGAAATAACTAGGGTTACTTGCTGGATTACATTATATGTCCTCTTTCTCTGAGGAGTCAAATGATATCGTAGCAAGAAAGAGATAGTGGGAATGAAAGAGTATTACACTAATTTTTAAAAATTAAAATTCAAAACACTTTGAAAAACTTTCAGAAACAAAAAGAAGCAATTTGATTTTGTTGAAGTAAATTAGAAAGTCTATCACAAGGCATAATTTCTATGTAATCTGGCTAAATTGCATTTGAAAGGGAAAAGCTATTGAAAGTGAGGTATCTCTCCGGAAGGTCTTTTCCACATAAAATGTCTCCTTACTGGAACTATATTCACATCTATTTCAAGGCAAAATGTTGTGAAGTCAGCGTGGACAAATTAATCATGCTAATTGCATAATGAACACAACTAAGGAAAAGAACAACATGATAACAGTGAGAGTCTTTTTTCCATGAAATCAGTATCAATGCTTTGTTTTTTTAGTGACATAATGTTACATGAGAGACTGAGCTAAATAAAAAATGGGGGTATTCAGATTAAAATAATAACAGAGAGGAATTTGATACCATTTCGAAGGCTTGATCCAAATGAATAGGCTTGTGCCTCACAAAATTTTACAGGAAGTCAGTCTTGTGGCTCCCCCATCCATCTGTGGATGGGGGGACCCACTCCAGAGTTTTTGATTAGTTTCAAGACTTTTAGACAGAAAAGTTATATTGGTTTCTGTGTTTCATTGCTCTGTGTGTTCTCTGTGATGAAGAGAGGAATTACCATATTTCCCTCTTTTTTATATTTCCCATCAAACAGATGTCATTACAAAATACTGATGAATTCTGCTTAATTGGTGCCCTTCAAACTAATTACATCTACTTACCTCTCACAATTAATTGGCTTTGGTGCTCCACAGCTGCTGCATCATTTCTAGCTATACAGGTATAATTCCCATTGTGCATCAGTGAAAGATTAGAAATCCTTAAGGAGCTGGTGAAGTCGATGTTGTCAATCGTCACTCCAAGGCTAGCTGGGATTGGCCTGCCATCCTTCTGCCAGGTGATTGTGATGGGCAAATCCCCAGAGACCACCACGCAGGGAATGAAGACCCGCTGGCCAATGGAGAACCGCGGGAACTCAAAAGGCTGAATAAAAGGTGGAACTGAAACAAAAGAGGAAAGAGGAGCTATTGCAGTTATAGTTTCATTTCTGAAAAGAATATAATGGAACAGATGTACAGTGTTGAATATGTAAAATCAACACCTTTGACAGCAATAGAGAATTGTTTAGCTAAAAAAATTAAGTCTTTTACAAATACCTTTATTTTCTTGAGTACTCAATGTATTAAGCAGAGATCACAAATAGTAAAATCCCTGCCTTCTAAGACATCAGACACTAGCAGGTTCCTTCAAGTGCTTTGAGTACTTCTTCAAGAAATCACACTGCCAGTTTGTGACTTTCCACGTCTTTCAGCAGCGAGACTGCCTGGACAGTACAGGAAGAGCTCAGCAGCTTTCAAGGTCTAGTGCAAGGGCCTTGCTTAGGGTCACGGAATAAATCTGGAATATGCTCCAGTTTTGATTCCGTGATGTGATGGAACAGAAAGTAAGCTTCTCTAACTGCTCCTGGCACTTATTTCTTAGTGTTTCAAGTCACAAATCTCAATAAGGTTGAGTAGAGGTATGTAGTGAAAGGCATATACTTGTACTATAGCAAATTAAGTTAAACATGATTTCTAAACAGAGGGGCAGTACAAGACATAAACACTCAAGTTGATGTTTAATTCCTGCTAAGCATTTTTGCCTGTCAATTTTTATTTCTTTTTTCCACTTATTATTCTGTGGTTGAACAAAAAGATATGAAAGAAATGCTCTTATTTTCTATCATGAGGAAGAATTCTGCTTCTTAAATAACATTTATTCTTCAGGTATTTTTAATAAAAGCAAAGGAAACAGTGGGTTGGATTCAATAAACAAAGCAAGAATTAATGGAGGTGCCTCACTTTCTCCAGCTTGTGGTTGGAAGAATTTGTCATTATGAACAATTTGGTAAATTAAGACTCAAATACCTACCCAGAAGAAGGAACTGAAATCTTCTCCCCTTCTCATGGGAGCACTTTAACAGCCAGGGCATTGATCTAAAATAGCTTTCTATCAATCACTCCTGAAAAGACTATAAAACCAGCTTTGCAAGCAGTACTCAAATACTCATTCATCAAAAGAGAAGGCTCCTAGAGGTTATGTATCTGAGATATAGGAGTGCATTTTCCTATTCTTGCCTGAGAGATTACTTACATATACTTTGTAGTACATTTGAACATCTTTAACAGGAAAGATTGAAGGATACCCACAACAGAACATTTACAATGCTCTATATTAACTAGCTTCAGAAGAAAATGGAGTTGGTGGTTTTATCTAATTGTATTTCTTCTGTCCTTTCTCCCTTTAACAAGTCTAAATCTGTGTTTTCCCCAGAGCTGAAGCAGAAAAGCTCTTCAAAGTGACTGCAATGTATTCTAGCTCATTGACTTCCCCAGCAGCATTTTTTCTCCTCTGCCAGTGTCCTATTTCTGGGACACAGAAACAGGTTTTTGTGACCATTACTATGTTAGCTCAAAGCATTTCTTTTGATCGTTGCGTATGTTAGCTGTTCCTCCAACAGGAGGAGCATCAGGAGTAAGAAAGTTTTTCACTAAGGAAACAATACCAACCCCCTGAAGGATTAAGGCGTTGTTCAAAGGCATGTTCAAATGCCTGTGTACATCAAGGTGCAAGAGATGATTGACACAAATCAGACATTAGCTCCACTGTTTCCAGCATAACCACGATGCCATTTGTTGAGGAGAAGTTATGACCATGTGCAGCTGCTGCAGAGAGGTAATAACAGGCATAGGGTACCACAAGTCATCCTTACAGGCTTTCCTTGACTTCTGAGAGCAGCTTGCTGTCTGTGGTTGTGAGAAGTGCCGCGGCAGTCAATTTTTCTCACATGCTGTAACACCTTTTCCTGACTGCCATCTCTCAAATCGCTAAAACCTATCCTGTTGTTTGGAAAATCTGGTAGATAAGGCATACACAAAAAAAGAAACACAGTATAAATTAGTGTGTTTATTTGAACTTTGAGCACTGGAAATTAACTGCTTTTTCACTTGGGGACCTAGTGTCAGGAAGTGAGGCAAAATGTCTACCTGCCTCTTCTAATTACCTTAGCACAGCTAACGCATTCACATGAGATATTTCAGATTCTTTGTACATCAGCAGAAAGAGGTCAAATTTATCTTAACATTTATTGACAAACAGTTCATAAGTGGGAATAAGAAATTTTTAGAATGAGACTGTCAAAAGGCTTTGACATAACCTTTTTCCTTGATGACTGCAAATATCTGCTAAATGCCAAGTGCCCCCTTACTGTATTGGCTAGCACATTTCTGCCCAAACCCTTTTCATAATCTCAGACATCATTACTGAAAGATATGCTAAAATTCAGAACAGGGTGGAAAATTGCTTATGTATTTTCTGCTGAGTGTGTAATAAATTTGAACCAATCTTTCATAGACAAAATGATATCAAAAGTCAGACAACATATTTCTGAAGGATTATTATGTACATTTTCACTCTCCATCTCCCTGATGCAGAAAACAGGGAGCAAGATCATTAGATCACATTGAGGTATTTTTCAGAAAATATTGATTTGCAAGGCTGCATTTATCAACTCTAAAATTTAAGAAGCAGCCTACAGAGCATTTCAGAAATTGGCTAAAATATTTCTAGACAGCTCATTTTCCTTCTACTTAGGTTTTTAAGATATAGAGGAAACCAACATTCATTTCTGCTTCATAAAATATAAGGTATATTCGACCTGCAGCAGCTTGCAGTCCTGACAAGTAGGTTATTTTTAAAAACAGCATGTAATTTAAAATCAGTACTCAAAAAAAGTAAATAGTCTAGTGTTAACTTTGAAGTATAGAATGTTTTACAGCCACAGTATTTACCAGTTTTGTCTGATAAAGGCAGTTACTGGTGACCTAACATAGCAGATAATTTCTTCCTGACAGTTCAAAGAATGAAACTATCACAAAAAAATCACTTATTAAAATCATAGACTAAAGCATACCTGACATAAGGCAAAGATTTTTGGAAATAATAAACTTGCCATAAATATATATGTCAGTCTATATATCTCTGCAGTAAAAAGGTGTTATGTATCCATGACAGAAAAAAAAAAATCAGGCTTGATTAAATAGAATGTGGTTTATTTATTATTTTTTTTTTAACTAAAGCTGTTTCATTGCCAAACAGCAATAAAAATATAGGAGGGGTGTATACTACTTTAAGTCTGATAGGGAAAAGTTACAGTAGGACAGATGTGTTTAAAAATGTGTTTAAATACTTCAAGGTGTGTTGAAGTATCTTCCTTCCCTATACATAGCTCTAGTTTGATCATACTTCAAAGCTTTTTTTTTTTTTTTTGTTAAATTATGCCATTTTATACATAAGGTGTTACTTGTTAACTATATATAGAGAGGGCTGTATGTGTATGTATGCTTGTGTACATGTAAGGGATATTTTTCCTCTACCCGAAACAGGAAGAAGATTGAAAAATCTCCACTTCATGCAATGAAGGGCAATGTCTTGGGAATGGTTTATTGATGAGTGCTTGAATTAAGTGTCTATTTAAGAAGAGGAGCATGGGCCAGCCTCATTAGTGCTAATGCAGGAAGATTTAAATTATGTTTTTGTGCCCTAGCAAGGTCTTCTGTACCTCTGGGAGATTACTGTAAAGGAGGGCAAGGAGGGCTTCCACACTGCTCTCCATTAACAGGGGAACAACCTTAATTTCTTGCCCTTCATTCCATGGGAGTTATGTTGGAAACTGCTGAAAAGGCTCACTAAAACAGAGTATCCTGCAGATAGCCTGTCTCCTGCAGCAGCATCATGAATGCGGAATTCCTCTCCTGTGGCTCTGCATAGTAGACTGAAAGTTGTCCTCTGCTTTATCATTGTAAGTGGTTCCCTAATGGATTTTGTTGCAACAACACTGTTGCCCACAGTATAAAATTCCTTTGGCAATGAATACTCAGAACACCGGTCCCATTGGCTGATGCAAAGTAATAACCACCAAACTATGTAGCCTCTGAAGGCAGCCCTTAACCCTTTGATTTCACACTCTTGGAGCATAAAATCCAAAACTGTTTTGTCTCTACACAAACCCTAGCTACAGTCTAGTCATTAGTAAGTTTTTTCAGCCATTGACTGTTTCTCCTAAACAGACCCATCTCTTGTGAGTGATGGTCTGAGCAATTGCACACAGTCACTGAAGCACTGGATTTTTCCGCTTCTTTCTTGTATGTATTGAGCCTTATCAATAGGGCATGTCATTCAGCAAAAGGCATTTACTGAGATGAACCTCATACCCCACTCTTTTGTTTCATACTAATATATCCTGTTTTGAAAAGAAGGAATATTGTCATGTTCTTTCTAAGTGTATGCACTTAGAACATTTGTGTATGCTCATTTCTAAGTATATGCATTGAAAAAAAATAAACCAAACCAAACCAAACCAAAAAGCCTAATCAAACTAATTCCTGCAATGGTCTTACTGTTGCACTACATTTCCCTCTACTTGCAGGTTCATTACTTACCAAAATTAAACCTGTATTCAAATATTCAAAATCTTACCACAACAAGCTGTGGTATTTTATGAGGAATGTTTCCAATTATGGCAGAGCAAATGCCGTGGTACATATTTCTTAGGGGAGCTTACGAGGGAGGCTTCATTCTTCACCTTTATCCCTACTCCCCTTTCCTGCAATGCAATACTAGTAGCTCACAGGCTCCCTGATGCTGTTCTGGGAGCTCCTTTAAAATAAGGGAGGATGCAAAATGTTGTATAGAAACCAAGAGTGCTTTTCTGTTATATCTCATCCGTGAACGGAACCACCTCCTTTCAGCCTCCACTGAGAGTGGAAAAGTGCATGCCCTTATCATATGAAACCCTGCAAACCTAGGATGGTGAAAAGCTCAGCTTCCTGCCCATGTTGATACATTTCCTATTTTTTAAAACAGGAAACCTTCAGCAGTGACCTGGGTTCAGCTACAGCAGTCATTTTTTCTCCATCTTAGTAGCTGGTGCAGGGCTGTGTTTTTGACTTTCAGCCTCAGAACAACGCTGATAACACCGATGTTTTTCGTTGTTGCTAAGAAATGATTACTCCGACCAAGGACTTTCTCAGTCTCATGCTCTGCCAGGGAGGAGGGGAAGCCAGGAGGAAGCAGAGACAGGACACCTGACCCAAACTGGCCAAAGGGGTATTCCATACCACAGCACGTCAGGCCCAGTATATAAACTGGGGGGAGTTACCCGGAAGGCCCAGATCGCTGCTCGGGTCGGGCTGGGTATCGGTTGGCGGGTGGTGAGCGGTTGTGTCCTTTTCCCTTGTTATTTCCCTTATCATTATTATTGGTAGCAGTAGTGGTTTTTATTATACCTTAGTTACTGGAGTGCTGTTATCTCAACCCGAGGGAGTTACATTCCTCTGATTCTCCTCACCATCCCTCCTGGAAGGAGGGAAGGAAAAAGAAGAGAAATGAGCGAGCGGCTGCGTGGTTCCAAGTTACCAGCTGCGCTTAAACCACGACAAGCAGCTGCAAGAGTGTATTGACACAACAAGCAGTTACCTTCATTGTTAAAGTGTCATCTGGTAAAAAGCCTCACTTTTAGGCTTTGTATCCAGAAGAACGTACCTATTATTTTTACTGTGCTTTTGGAACATGGTCCGCAGGTAACACTGTGAAAACCTTAAATCAACTAAATCACTACAGCTAAAAGTTCCAAATTTAGCTAAACAGAATGATGTCTTTCCCTGGAAATCATTTCCATGAGTATTTTGACTGGTTTCACACTAGCTTCCCTTTTACCTTTATCCTAGGATTGTACATAAGAGGCTGATTTTACATCACACTTCCATTTCCACACAGTTGATACAGTCGTCTTCTTTTTTATTTTACATGCTATGAATTATACACATTGATTTGAAATTAGGGCAGCACGCTTCAGACATGCACTATCATGTGCACACACAGTCTTACTTTGTATATGTGCTTACCATATGTACTTACACACACACTGCTAATAGCTCATACTAACTTGATGCAGTAAAGTGCTTAAAAATTTAAGAGCAATTGTAAAAATATATATAAGTATTTAATATATAATTGACAAAATACATAAAAAATAGCAAAAACATGCCTTCTTCTAAAACTAAAGTAAATAAAGCTGCACCATAAGAGAGAGCAGAGGACTAGCTTTTGATAAACCCAAAGATAGCATACATATACTCCTGAACTACTTAGCTTAGGGTCTTATTCAAGTATTAAGACTCATTTCACGTTGCTTACATAATTCATAAACAAACACATCCATACGCCAACTTCAATTGTGTTTGAAAGATATAAGATTGTGCAAAGCCAGTGAGCTTTATTTTAGATTTAAGTGAAAGGTTTTATATTTGTGCATGCTAATTCCTCATCATGAAGACTAGGATAATAATGAAACAACTTTAGCATACATTTTTAGGTGACCATTTTCTGCAATGTCAGAGGTGAAGTCATTAGGAGTACAGTATATTAAAACTGTACTGCTACAAAATAAGACACTTAGCTACAGCATCCACATTACACTTGTGTGCTTTTAAAGAATGTAAATGAGCTATTTTAATTTAAGGTTAATCTTGAGTTGTTGAATTGTAAAAGTATACATAGACCTGTCAAGTCTCACATATTGAATAGTAGACTGGTTTAGTCTTTTCTTCAGGTACTTCTATGAGTTAAATGTTAGGGGTCTCAAATTGGAGATATCACTATCAAAGCACAAATTTCCTTAAATCAGACTGCTGCCACTGCTTGTTCCCTGTAACAAGTCCGCATGCCCATTATGTGACCTGAGAATGACAGTTATGTGGATTTTTGCAGGATCTTTTGCACAACTGCACATTCGCATCCATTCTCACTACATGGCCCTAGCGTGATTCCTGCATATGACAACTCCAGTCACTTCAAGACATGTGACATTTCTTCCTGAAGAAGTTTCAACAAGGTTGGAGGGATCTAAAGATATTGCAAGAGAGAATGAAGGGCAAAAAAGGATATAATGAAAGAAGTACCTGAAGGACATGAAGGCCAGAAGTTTTTTCGGACTCAAATTATTGGCAAGGTTCAGTCAGTAGAACTGAGTATCTTAGATACATGCAAGAAACTGAATTCAAACTTGCCATAATCCATGACATAGACTGAAGAATAAAACAATTAGCAGTTTGTTTCATGACAGCATGCACCATGGGCCTAAGAGCTCTTGAAAGATTTCCCCTGATGGTTTTCCTTTTATCTCTGCATATTTTTCACTACATAAACCAGCCTTCCCGGAACTGATCTGCCATACAAATCTGCCAATAACATTTTATCTATTAGAAAAACCTAGATAATTCATAGGAAAAATGAGGAGAATCTATTCAAATAGTTGCAACATGAAGTTATTTAGAAGTAGCTCCTGTTCGATTTGCTTGTTTTCTTAAAAGAAACAGGCTGGTAAGATTCTTTTGTGTGGTTCACAACAGGTGAAGTGCTACCACTTTGGTATAAGGTAATGAGAAGCCTTCTAAATCAAATGATATATATATAAGCTCTACAAGATCAGAAACAGTCTTTTTGAACACCTCACTTTCTATTTTAATGATGCTGCACCTTTCCCTCTCAGGGGCTTCTTTTTCAATTAATTTCTGTTGAAGAAGTGTGAATAGCAGCAGGCTGTTTACATGAGAAGTCTGTCCCATGAGACTGATGAAAAGAAAATCATCACTTACTACTGATGGCTTTTACTGTAGCTGAGAAAACTATTACTATAAATTACATAATAACTCCCCCTGAAATAATAACTCAATCCTGTTTTTAAAATGCTTTGAGAGGTATTAAAATGCTGTAGAAAAGATGATGCTATTATTATTGTACCATCTTGCCACTTGTAAGGTTGTTTTTCAACAGAAATCTGAAACTTACAGATGGGGTGGCTAATATAACCTCTTTCTTTGTTTACCAACACTTCTCATTATAAGACTATTTTCATTTGCCTTCAGTTTGACTTCTGTTTGGACAATATTTTGCCAGGCCAGGTGTCTGCCTCAGACTGACACAATTCAGCTGGAAAAATTCAGTTACAACTGTTTGGCCATTTGAAAAAAAAAAGGTGGAAAGGTTGGAAAAATAGGGCTGCAGTACATATTTATGAAATAAATATAAATAGAAACAAATAAAAAAGAAAAAAAAGGCATTGTGAGAATCTGAGAAGTCTCACCTGCCCCATGGTTAGCAGTATGGATTTCACATTCAGCAGGCATTGACGCTAGCATCAGACATTCTTGCTGTCCCTACGAAAAGTCATCACAAGGGTGCCTCAATTTTTCAGTCTGAGCAAAACCAAGTAAATAACAGTTGTCACATCCTGAGAAGACATTTGGCAGTGACTAATAGCTAAGAGCTCCCAGGGTTCCAACAGCACTAAACACATCCTGTCACTATTCTCAGTGGCTGAGTCTGTTCAAGCCATGTGGGGCAGATGCAGTCTGGTGGGATGTCAGAAATCAGAGCAGACAGATTTGTCTCTCTAATTCTCATATGATCACCTGTGCTGGGCCAAGGAAGCATGACAAAATTATTTCAGTGCAAATAGAAAGGAGATGTGTGGGCCAAGGGACCAGAGCAGTGAACCAGCCTGTATTGCTAGACATGTAGATTGTAGCAGCAAGCGATGGAGCAGAAGCTCAAAGCAGTGTTTAGGATAACAAATGGAAATTAGAATCCATAGAACTGGATTTAGGGTGTGATTTCTGACTTCACCTTTTTTAGAGAAGTCAGAAGTTGGAAGCAGTCTTGTGGTGGAATTGCAGAGGTGATGGAGGTTGACAAAGTGCAGTTGGGAAACTAGCTAGAGATGCAAGACTGGGAAAAGGAAGCAGTAGGGTGAGGTACAGCACTGACAGTGAACGAAGACCCACAGGAAGGGAAGGCAGACCTGGTGGAGATGGAGAAAGTGAAGACCAGCAGAAAAAGAGGACTGTAACTGGACACTAGGAAGAAAATTGGAACCTCTGAAGGGAAAGGCTAGTTTTGAGTCATGAGAACAAGGCTCTGAGGAAATGAGGACTGAGATGGGAAAGACACAGAGGGCAGATTCATTCTGGAACCTAGAGCAGAAAAGCGAGGACTTGGACAAGGATAAGTTGGAGAAGACTGAGGAAGACAGGTCATACTTAGAAGGAATGTACACAAAACCCTACATCTGCTGCAGACTATTCTTAGGATGTCAGACTTCAATAGTCCTGTGATGTTCACAGGTATATATGAACCCTGGACTTGCACAAGGCATGCAACACTGTCCCACATGACCTCCTTGTCTCT